TCACACAGGAAAGTGATTGAGATTGTACGGTCATCCCAGTTGTTCTTTGAACTTAGGTATTATTTCTTGGAACTATCATGAGTGAATACCCATTTCTGAAAATAGAATAAATGACATTGAAAACTGATAGGTAACCAATTTTTGATTTAGTGCACACAACAGATTCATATGACACAAAGTTTTCCTATGTTATATCGAAATATATTCGTCTCAGTAATAAACATTTATACACGTGTTTAATGTGTTGTAATTCATTCTTTCCAAATTCAGGAGCAATATAAAGTACGAATATGTATGCTTTTCGAACCTTAGATGACCAAAGTAAGCGAAAATATTGGTCGTGTGTTATACGTAAAACTATAAGTTCAGTCAGTTAAACAATTGGTAGATTTATACTGGGTGATGATTGAAGGTGAAATGAAAACTCGGACCCCAACCAGATTCGAACCAGACGCCACCGAGTTTCCTGCCCGATGCTCTACCAACTGAGTTACGAGGTCCAACTGCTGACCACATTTTTTACTTCACTCCGATCACCATGGGTTTCACCCAACTACCATGTGAATTCGTGATGCGTTACTACCGCTTGATCGTATTCACACTGGCTGCCTAGTCAGGACTTCTTATCCCAACCCAGTCGAATCCAACCGCGGTCCGAATTTTTATTTCACCTTCAGTTATCATCCAGTATAAATACTAGTCTGCTAAACCACGGCTATCTCAGGTAGTCGTGATAATCAGCATGATGCTCCCCCTCTCTAATTCAGTTACATTTGGATTGGGATGAGAAGTTCTGACGAAGTAGCCAGTGTGAATATGATCAAGCGGTAGTAACACATCACGAATTCACATGGTAGTTGGGTGAAACCCATAGCGATCGGAGTGAAATAAAAATGTGGTCAGCAGTTGGACCTCGTAACTCAGTTGGTAGAGCATCGGGCAGGAAACTCGGTGGCGTCTGGTTCGAATCCGGTTGGGGTCCGAGTTTTCATTTCACCTTCAATCATCACCCAGTATAATAAATACTAGTCTGTCAAACTACGGTTATCCCAGATAGTCAAAATGATAATTGGCAGATTTGTTGAGTCCACGTATTGAGTCAGAAAACCTGTAGTGAACTTGAACACCAAATTCATCTATATATGGAAGAATGTTTCCTCATATTATTCAGGTTTATATTTGATACCAATAACATCAATACCAACATAGAACCAGATGTCACTGCATAACAACCTAAGACATCACATCTCACCAGCATATCAAATGAAAATGCACTAAGATAAAAGATTAAAAAAAACCAAAGAAAGCAGTCAAAAGTGGGAGAAAGTTATGATAAGATAACAGGGAGATATTTAAAAAATACTGGATTCAGTATGATGATTAAGATGCGGATAATGTGTAGATAAATTCACGTCATTGAGATAAATTCTGACTCATGTTAACTAGTCACCAGTCACTGGTTTCTGTTGTCATGTGGACCCCAATGACGGAGTCTACTTTTCCTTACACAGCTCGCACCAACAGTCAGAGGCTTCATGCAATGATGCCATGTATTAGTTTAGCTAATTCTAACCTATTGGCAGCATGAACATGCTTCAGCTAACATTATGCGAAGAGGCAGGTAATGACCAGACATGAGTGGCATATATTCTAGCCACCATGGTTGATAGTTTCCCATCATTAACTGATTTACCTCTTCTCTCTATAACTCTACACCTATAACGAAGGCAACAGGGATCAAACACCAGAAACTTTTCATGTCCTCTACCTATAATGGCTAAGTTTTACAACCATATAGTAGAAACAGAGCAAACTGCATCACAGTACACTCGACGCTTAACAGGCAGTTACATATCACGATAGCGCCATAAATGGCGATGGTAAAGCCAGCCTTTATACTCGTGCATAGATTTCGTCGAACACTGAACCACTAGAGCTGATCCGACTTCTTAGGTACCTGAAATGGTCAACGAGCCTAACGATTTCACTCCCTTTTATTAGAAAATGCACCACTGAAGACCAGTCTTGGAACAACAGTTTGCATTTGGCTGGTGAGAAACACATCCCAAGCAATCTCAAATTACCATTCAAGGTGTCTAGGAGACTCTGTATCTTCATTTAACTGGGTCGTGTCATCTGAGTACTCTAGATCTGTCAGGGATTCTTTCGACACAAGAGCAATACTTGTGAAACCAGATAACGAGGAGACATCTATAAGTACTTCTATGATACAGCTGAACAATTATGGAGAGTAAACATCCTTGACAAACACCACAAGACGTATTCAGCTCATCCGATAACTCAACATAGGCTCAAACACGCTGCAGTGTTCAAGTGCAGAGCCTTCAACAGAGTAATGTACTTACTCACTACCACTTTCAGTAAGCCATTACCATAAAACGTCTCGATTGATGGAGTTGAACGCTGAGTTCAGATCGGGAAAAAACAGGCAGTGTCATGTATCGATAAGTGTACCTGTGTTCCAGAACTTGACAAAGTGTAAATATCTGTTCGATGAACCTACGTACAGGTCTGAAACCTGCTTGGTTTTTCTGTTCCCTGAGCTCTAATTTAACGTTTAATGATCGTAGAACATATAATCCTAAGTATCGTGTTTATGACAAGTGAACGAGTCACTAAAATTCAATTGTCTGTAGACCTACTCACCACTGGGTCTCTGTAAGTACCCTGACAATTATTTATCTGGTTTGTTGTAGGGGCCAGTTCCTTCTCGGCGCTGGTACTTAGCTTGTTGTCAACTCTCAGAGTGACATGCCTTTCGATACCTCATCTCCGCTGTTTGGGTTTTCTGATACGAAACATTCCCGCAATCATTGCCAAACAAATATTTATGAATGGCAACAAAATCTTCTTCAAGGTTCTACCTCGCTTACAAATGAAAGGGGTCTGTATCATAAGATGATGTAGCTTATCAGACAGCTGTTATCTTCAAATTCTATTGAGCACCTTTGATTTCAGTATTGATGACATTTGACTACCACAGAATTCTTAAATATGAAGGGAAATTCCACTAAATAATATAATGGATGGATTCATACCATAACTTGACTGATAATTTATACAAAAGCCGGGGAAGAATAATCAAATGGTTCCAAGACTTAAATCCTAACCCTGACGTACCAAAGACTACTGGATTCACTTTCCAAAGGAAACACAAGAAAACATAACTGAAGAGAGACAGAACAAAAACCTGATGCTCTCTTATCTTAGCTGATTCTTCAATGGTTACTATTTCATAACCATAGGCTACTCAAGCCTATAAAATTAGTGTTGAACCATCATACCAGAAGCTAGCGGACAGAAAAAATCAATGTAGAACCTCGTACACAAGTGCACCGACCCAAGTTGCCACACTTTACGGTAGTACACAAAGAACAGATGTACAGGAATGAGTGTTATCAAAGTCATCATCATCATCATCATTATCAACATAGGACCAGGCATTAATGCGTAACGGTCCGAGTTGCCACACCTCATATCAGCACATCAAGTAAAAAGGTAGTCAGGTGAAGCATGAAGATAAGTGAATGCAGTGAAAAGAAATATAAAGTACGAGAAGAAAGGAAAGAGGAGTGACAAAATAGTGAGATTCGGTATAGCGTTGTTAAGATGAGGATAATGTGTGTATACATCTGCGCCACTGACTTCGGTTCTGAGCCATATCACCTAGGGTCTCCAACCACTGGTTCCTCTTGTCCCGTGGACCCCAACCACTTAGTCTGCATCGTCCTACATGGCTTAAACCAACAGTCAGAGACTTCATACATTGGTGCCATGTTTTAGTCTGGCCACCTCGGGCCTTTTTCCAGCCTGAACCCACCTCAGCCAACATTGTGTGACGAGGTAATCGGTGACTAGGCATACGTAGTACGTGTCCCAACCATCTCAGTCGATGAAGGTTCACAACCTCGTCGACTGACTTACCTCTTCTCCCTAAAACTCTACACCTAACTTCTGCATTACTCGCATGGTGACACCACGGAATACGTCCTATACTACGAAGGCAACGGTGGTCAAATACCTGTAACCTTCTCATGTCTTCCACTTTCAATGGCCATGTTTCACAGCCATACAGTAGAACAGACCGGACTGCTGTGCAGTACACGCGACCCTTAATAGACAAACGAATATCACGGCGGCGCCATAGGTGGCGTAAATTGGCAAAAGCCAATCGAGCCTTTTGTATCCGTGCCGAAATCTCACCGGCAACTAACCCACCGGGGTTGATCCTACTTCCCAGGTAAGTGAAGTGGTCAACACACTCAACCACTTCACTCTCTATTGTTAACCGCGGTACCGCTGAAGACCAGTCCTGGAGCAAAAATTTGCATTTGGGTGGTGAAAATGTGTTATCAAAGTAGACAAAGTTGTATGAGACAAATAAACAAATTGAAGATAACGGTTAATACAAATATTTAAGCTTTAGAAGACGTCAAAGAGTGAATACATCTGTGCCACTGTGATCGATTTTCCGTCATATCACCAAGAGTGTTCAACAACTGATTCCTCTTGTCCTGAGGACCCCAACCGGGCAGTCCATATCGCCCCACAAGACTCAGACGAACAGTTAGGGACTTTATTGACTGTTGCCACTCCTTGGTCTGGCCACCATGAACCTTCTTCCAACCTAGTCGAACATGCCTTAACATGGCATGTTGAGGTAGGCAGTGACTCGGTATGAGCAGTACATGTCCAAGCCACCTAAGTCAATAAAGGTTCACAACCTTAACAATTGACTTTCCAGCCCTGACCTCAACATTACTCACACGGTGATTCCACCAAATGTCAGCAATGCTACGGGAATATCTATGACCCAAAATTCTGTAGTCGCTTCATGTCGTCTACTTTTAACGCCCATAGGACAGAACGGATTGCAGCACAGTACACTCATCGTTTGATAGATAGTCAGATATCTCGCCAGTTGATGACACAAGTTAGAAAATGACAAACGCTACCAGAAAAACAGTAAGAAAAAATTTAATTCCAATCTTTTACTTGTAATATAATATACAATGACGACACAAATAATCATGATAATTACGTTGATGTAAGGCGCATGCACAAATGCATACACATTATTGAAATGTAATGATGGCGCTCATATCTTTCTCTAAATAATAATGCGTAGAACTTGATTGTCACAGCCAAATTTACAGAGAACCATACCCCGCCAATACACAGAGATATGAGAAGATGAAATATACAGGAGTGTTGAACTATTATGACAATAATAATGGTAATTTTAATAATAATGATAGTAATGGTCATCATTATTATAGCAGTAATAATAAGCATAGTGACACTAGTAAAAAAATTTATAAATGGTATGCTGGGAGAGAGAGAGAGAGAGAGAAGAAGTAATACAACACTATAATCTATACAAACTTCTTATGAAAATAGGCGATAAAAGTCTTCATATAACTGATGATGAAACAACATAAGTTAAGGACGAAACATATATGGGATATAAGTTAGTCATGATTGTGTGAAAGTGTGGAAAATTTATACGGCAAAAGAACACAGAAAAAATATATCATATGAAATAAGGTTATGTATATATATACATACGCATTAAGACTAATTTTATAATCTTTGTTTGTTTAAATAACACGTTGAATATTGAAAGTATATGGCGCGAAATAATACAGTTACATTTTAAATTCTCTGAAACGGTATAATATATATACGCAATAATATGGAATGATTAAAATTATTTTATTTTCATTTTGAAATTTCATATCATCCACTTATTGCACATAGTTCATTCATATTCATATCAGCTGGAACTTTATCCAATACAGACTGAAAGTATCTGCCAACATCAACAATCTCAGTAATTGATCGTAGATAAAATGGATGATTCTGTGTAGAAATGAAGTAAATATAACATATAACTGGAACATTTTTTTTTATATTAATATGTGAAAAATTACAAAAGTATAGACCTTAAACTTTGTAAATATTAGTCGAATATAAAATATATGTTTATAAGCAGTTCTATGATGCATTATGTAAGGATTGTTTGGTTATAATAGTCAAATTTCAATCATTAAGAAATATATATAGATGAATGATAGCTAACTTATAAGCTATTCCATTGCTAGCCTCCTTCCTATCTATCATTATTATCTGTAGTACATTGATTATTATTGCTTCTTGCTTATTTAAGTTATGCATAGGATAATATGTAAAAGGTGATGAACTACCAGTTAACAATTGGATAACAAAATAAAGCGTAGAGAACTCATCAACTTCACTTACACATAGAGTTTACCCTAGAGATATGATCTAGCTAAGAAGTTAAACATTAATTCTTACATCATCTAGTTTAGAGGGCAAAGATAACAAAATATCAATATTAATCGTAATTCAATGATAAGATGAAAATCTATATAAATTTACCATGAGTGCTTGATATTTCGGTCGAGATTTAACTTCTTTCTTTAAACATTGAGAAACAAAATCACGAAATTCTAATGAAAAATCTGTTGATGAAGAAGATCCATTTGAAATATTTAAATTACTGTTGGCATTATTTGGATGATAATCAATACTGACAAGTGTTGTTGTAGAAGATGATGTTTGAATTGGTCTTCTTAAATATTCTGGTAACCTAGGTGGATCATCGTGAAGTACACAAGTGAGTTGTTCGAAGACAGAATTCCAAACTGGATAAGGAAATTGACCAGTGGCTAGTTCTATTAATGTGATGCCTAAACTCCACACATCTGAACGAATATCATATCCATTAACACTTAAATCTGGATGGATGCGTTCTGGCTGTAAGATGGAAAAAAAAAACACAAAAAACAATGGCATATGGATTCAAAGATGATTTACTACTTACTTACATGAGAAAAAAGTCAGAGACAATGTAACCAGTAGATAACGACACTTACAGTTTCGAATTTTATTATACACACCTAGGGCTTCTGCTATAACAAGAAATATAAGCAATAATTTCTTCCAATTTGACTCAATGGTAATACGTTGGACCTATAACCAGTGCGCACCATAGATGACGCAATTTGGCAAATGCCGAACAGACTATTTGTATCCAAGCTGAGATTCCGTCAACAACCAACCTATTCGGGTTGACAGATTCTACCACTTCACTCCGTATCATTAGGCTGCGAGGAGTGGCAGCAGACCAGTTATGCCTCCAACATCAACGACTGTGAGACGCATGCTAGCTAAAAATACTCAGTTTATTGCTCAACTCGTCCAGATGACTGTATTGCATCATCATCTTTACTTAGCAGGAAAATATCGCCTGCATATTCCAATCCCCGGGAAGTCAGACGTACCTAAAGTTATGTCCATTAGTACGTCTAGGACGAAGTTAAATAGGAACCGTGACATTGGGTATCTCTGGCGGACACCGCTAGTTGTCATCAATTCTGATGACAACTTTCCATAAGCACGAACATGTCTGTGAGTTTGAGTAGAGAGCTTTGATAAGCATTATATACTTGCTCGATAGTCTATTCACGGTCGAACACTGCCACAGTACCTTACAGTCTAAAGAGTCAGATGCCGCCCTCAGGTCAACTGTCGGCTGCTGGTAGGTAAACTTGTGTTCCAGGACTCGTTATAGGATAAAAATTTGATCGATTCACCCTCGACCAGGTCTGAAACCTGCCTAGTTTTCTCAAGTTTGCTCTTCATGAGCTCCAGTCAGGTGTTGGATATCTATGAACCATGAGATCATGAACACAACATTAGTTAAACTAATTCCCTATGGTTGTCACAAAATTTCTCCCCCTTCTTATAAACTGGGATGATCAGTGAAGCATACTACTTTGACAGCAGTACCTCTAATTCCTATACACCAGGTACTGTCTCCGTCAGTTTAATTAACCTCTGTAGCAAATAGTAAAAACAGATTCTATATGATTCGTATCTGCTTGGTACTGGTAATATGTACATTGAATATTAGTATGTGTCCATATTATTTTTAGTGTACCGTTTTAAAATTTGTAAACATTAACAGACGCATCATTCTACGTAGCTCCAAGTTGTTCTATCTCTATTCTCTTACTACAACTTTCATTACTAATTCAATTTCTGTATACAATACTTGATCTTTGCTTGATGATACCTAATCAGATATAATCTAATTTGATAGAATTTACATTTTTTGATAACTATCACATGATATCTTTTATTTTTTTTAATGATTCTTTTTTGATTGTTAAACTCTAACAAAACCATTCCACTTTCATAGATAGAAACTTTTGCTTTCTAAACGTTTCTATCATTCATACTTTAACTTCAAGTCCACTGTTCTTTGTTCTTCTTCAGAATTATAGCGCATATTTGCACACACACACACACACACACACACACACACGATCTGTCTTTGTTTACAAAAGCTTGAATGTATTTGTTTCAGGTGCCTTGATTAGATTCGTTAACCGAATACAAGATTTATTTGCAGTAAAATTGAAACCTGGAGAAACTAAATGAGAAAATGCATTTCTATAGTATTGTATTTTATTTTTAGCATTGAGTAAGTAAAAGATGCTAGTGACCTACTGTTATAACCTTGTCATCACTTTTATAACTCATGTTGTCACTTGTTATATCTATGTAGTGATTACTAAGTTATATACAAGTGGACGCTTGAAGAACAATAATACAAGGGTTTATATATACTTACAATGGCCTTGGTTATTTCCAGGCCATTCTAGATTTGAATATGTTATTGATTTTTCGTCTCTTCAACCAATCAGATATTTACATGTTGGCTCAGGTGCTTTCTACTGAAACTCCTAAGTAAGGCGGTGGGTAGTAAAATGACTCAGGAAGATATGGCCCCTTGTGAAGATTTTGGTAATCGTATTCCACACCTCCCAGTTGAAATAAAGATGTATACCTAGTCGCCGATCGCCTCGTCACACAATGTTGGCCGAAGTAGGTGCAGGTTGGGAAAAGGCTCGAGGTGGCCAGACTAAAACATGGCACCAATGTATGAAGTCTCTGACTGTTGGTTTGAGCCATGTGGGGCGATGCGGACTAGGTGGTTGGGGTCCGCGGGACAAGAGGAACCAGTGAGTAGTTGGAGACTCTAGGTGATGGCATAGCTCAGAACCGATGTCAGTGGCACAGATGTATACATACATAATCCTCATCTTAACGACGCTATATCGAATCTCACCACTTTCTCATTCTTCATTTCTCTCTTTTCGTACTTTATATTTGTCTTGACTGAATTTTTTCATCTTCATCTTGCGCCTCACTGCCTTTTTACTTGATGTACTGATATGAGATCATCATCATCATCATTATCAACATAGGACCAGGCATTACTGCGTAACGGTCCGAGTTGCCACACCTCATATCAGCACATCAAGTAAAAAGGTAGTCAGGTGAAGGATGAAGATAAGTGAATGCAGTGAAAAGAAATATAAAGTACGAGAAGAAAGGAAAGAGGAGTGACAAAATAGTGAGATTCGGTATAGCGTTGTTAAGATGAGGATAATGTGTGTATACATCTGCGCCACTGACTTCGGTTCTGAGCCATATCACCTAGGGTCTCCAACCACTGGACCATTACGCAGTAATACCTGGTCCTAAGTTGATCTGAATGGATGGATGCCAATGGTGTCTTTTGATTGACTGTATCGTGAAAAATTATTCTTTGGTGATCTACTGAATTTGTGTTGTGGTGTAGTCTGAAATAAACTCGGTAGAAGAGTATTTGATGAACCTTCTCCTTTTCGCATCAAAAAAGTAGACTGATAAGCATTTTCAAAAACATCTTCGAGGGACTTATACCCCGAATTCCAGTGTTGTTCCGAAATGACTGTGAAAATGTTCAAAAGTCGCCTTAACTAGTTGTGTGCATTTAATTGTTACCATGGTATTTTTAACATTGTCAACCTCAATAAACCGAATTCAATTAAACTTCTGTAACTGCCTAAACAACTGACTAGCCCATCAGTAAGAATCTTATACGATCTTACATTTATAGATTTATTACGATCCAAAATGTTGTGTTTCTGGAGGTAATCATTCATCTCCTCCATTTTTCAGATAAGTTTTCTGTAAGTTGCATGGAGTTTGTCAATATATCCTGTGAAACATGCAATGCCTCATTTGAGCAGGTAGCGATGTCACACTCCTTCAGTACTCGTTTCCAGCAAGCCTAGGTGTTGCAACCAAAAGCCTGAGATTTTGCATCTAGAGTGAATCAAAGTAGTCCAGGAGTTATTCATATGACTGATAAGGTACTCCATTACGTAATAAATTGTCACAATCAGCACCAAATATACCACCTTGATAATGTGCTGCTGATCGCGAATGAAAGCGGATTCGCAGTCTTCCACTTGCTTGCTACCAAGTGAATGTGATGTCTGAAGTGGAGACAGCTTGATGCGATACAATCGCTTGCATGGACATGAATTATTATTAACATTACCATTTAACCCTTCGGTCCTTAATAAAAAATACGGATTCAGTAACACATCACCATTCCACTCTCTCCTTCGCACTCATTTCAACCTGGTTCCACTACCCTCCACAAGCTTCCATTTCCACCTCACACTATCTACTCCACAGCACCCTCACCTCGGACGCCCAACTCGTCATCTCCCATTTGGATTCCACTCGACGGCCTAGTCCGGTGCGTGATGTCCTCAAATGATCTTATCAATGTATGTCCAATCCATCTCCATCTCCACTTTATTCTACTACATATTTGTTGGACAACAGGTTTTTGGTTGGCTCGTTGCCAACCTGCCAGCCAGCCTGAGTTCCTTCTTGCTTATTCTTATTATTCTCGCCATCTGATCTCATCTTCAGTATCGAGTGGGCGTAGGCGGCAGCTGTTGATGATGTGTGTCTGCAGTTCGTTGCAAATGCCTTTCGTAACGCGACACCAAGTCTCTCAACCACCACATAGAAGCACTGAGTTACTTCACTGACATTAGTGTTGGAAATACGGAACTTGTTAACACTTTATGTCGAGTGCAGTGCAGTGCAGTAGTTCTCCACACTGATTATTTCAGATTAATGAAGGCCTGTCTTGCTGCCTTTCCAATCGTAGCTTTGACGTTCTCATCTGTGCCGCCGCCGCCGCCGCCGCCACCGCATGTGGTTGAAACGATGCTGCCTTGCCTACATAGTAGGCGAAAGAGACAAATCCCTTCAGATTTCTCCCATTCATGCTGATTGGTGCTTCTTCTTCTTCTTCTTGGTGGTGGTGGTTGAGTATCTTCATCATCTATGTCTTCTCTACATCCACTTGAAGTCCCATCTTCCTTCACTACCTCGCCTCGCATCCTCTACCAACTTATTGGTTTTCGCCTGTAGATCTTCGACTTTGTGCAACAAGACATTAGACGTAAATCATCATCGGTGGGGAAATCTAAATCTCCTTCTAGGCACTTTTCATCCGTCAAACAGCGTCTGACCATCTTCTCGCTCCTCACACCTTTTTGCATCATCCAGTCAAGTCCAGTCCACTCCACTCCACCACAACACAATCACGAAGATCATCGGTGATGGTAGGCGGCAATCTTGTCTTACTCCTGTCTTCACTTCACTTCAAAGGCATCACTGAGCTTTCCATAGTGAATCACATAGCATGGAGCTTCATCATATAGCATACAGCTGCTGTTCAGTGAGGTTGATAAAGGTTTGTGGTAGTAAGACTGTAGTGTTGAAGCAGCTGCCTGCCAAATTACTTCTCGGTCGACGCCTCTGTCGATGGCCTTTTCAAAATCCATGAAGTTGAGGTAGAGTTGAGTTGACTGCCATTCTACACTCTGTTCTATGATGATGTGTATCGTAGCGTCGTAATTTAATCCGCACATGATTTGTACTTCCTGAATCAAGCGAGACAGCCTGTTCAGGTCGTAATTTTGAATGCAGCGCACCCCTTAGTCTCTCCAGGATGACATGGCTTAATATTTTGGCTACCAACCCTACGCTGTAAAACCAATCCAACCACTAAAGAAACTTCAAAGCACGAAGTAAATATAAAAATAAAAACAAACTTATTCCTCTCTAGAATCTGAGAGGCGAAAGGATGCCAGTTGATGAAAGCCTTCGGGAAGCCAATTGGCCGATGAATCTTCTATTCTCTAGATGAAAGCGAAAGTTAACGTGGAAACATGGAATGTCCGCACTATGTTTGAACCTAGCAAGGCTGCCTAGATTGTGAAAGAGATAAGAAGGTATAGCATAAAAGTGCTACGAATCTGAGAGGAATTTGCAGATGGAATGGAAGTGGACTCTCAAAACTCAACTGGAGAGTCAATATTCTACTCCGGTCACCCAGACGACAACCACGAGCACACTGAGTTTTCGAGTGGCTATCATGATGTCCCCAGTAACATCGAAGGCTCTCCCTCACGCAGTGGGAACCAGTCTACACCTCCACGATCATGACAGCAAGATACAACTCAAAAGGAAGGAAAGTCACAATCATTCAATGCTACGCTACGCACCTACAAATAATGCAGATGAAGATAAGAACGAGGAATTCTATAGACAACTGCAATCAGTACTAGACAAAACTCCAGTTGGCGACATCAAAATTCTAATGGCCAACATCAATACCAAACTCGCAAAGAACAGCACAGGAAGAAAACTCATCACAGGTCGACAAGCACTCGGTGAAATGAATGACAATGGAGAGTTGTTTGCAGAATTCTGAGCATACAACGATTTGGTGATTCGAGGCAGTGTGTACAAACACAAGGATATTCACAAAGCGACGTGGATTCAATTTCACCAGATGGACACACTAAAAATCAGATCGACTTCATCTCAGTCTGCAGAGGGTGGAAACGCAGCCTACTTGACACTAGGTCAAGAAGGGGTGCAGATGTAGGTTCACACCACTCACTATCTAGTGCAAGGAACCTGCCTTCAAAATCAAGTTGAAAGCCTTCAAAGAAGTTGGTGACAGACCACAGTTCAAGTTGAACACCCAGAACACAAACTGAAGGACAAAACTACAAAGGACATCTTCATGTCGGTCAGTCATCAAGACAAAATGGGAGATATTGAGCAACATCACTGAAGAAACCTGTGTGGAGGGAACACTGGAACTCTTTGAAAGCTATGTGGAAGGAGACCTGCATAACCGTCTCAGGAAGGAAGAGGAAACAAGATAAGAAATGGATCTCAACGGACACATGGAAGCAGATATATGAGGGAGAGGGAGTTGGTTGAACACAAGATAAACCAGTGCAGTACGGGGATGAACAACGAAAAGAGGAAGTGAATACAACCTATAAAACACTACACTGGACAAAGAAGTGAAGTGAAGAAGAGTGCACGCAAAGACAGAAGACACTTCTAGGACACATTGGCAAGTGAAGCAGAACAGGCGACAGGTAGGAGAGACCTGATAACGTCATATCAAATAAACAGGTTACTATCTGAGAAGAGATCAACACACATGAAACCGATGAAAGATAGTGAAGGAAATTTAATTACCAAAGAAGAGAAACAAAGGAAACAATGGGCTAACCACTTCAAAAAGCTCTTGAATCGACCACCACATGCAGCTACAGAACTGCGACAAAAGTCTACAAACGTCGAAGTCCTGAACGCCATAAAGCTACTGAAATGCGGGAAAGTAGCAGGACCAGATGGAATCCCGCCAGAAGCACTGAGAACAGACACAGAGACAACAGCGGACATGCTCACACCACAACTGCAGAAGGTCTGGAAGGAATGGAAGGTACCTGGCCATTGATTGGAAGAAGGGTTACCATGTCAAACTCCCGAAGAAGGGAGACCTAAGTATTTGGAAGGAGTGGCGCGGAGTCATGCTCCTGTACACCCAAAGCAAGCAAAATATTCAGCTGCATCACCCTAGAGAGACTAAAGGATGCACTGGATTGAAAACTACGACCCGAACAGGCTGGATTCAGCAAGTACAAATCATGTGCAGACCAAATTGCAACGCTACGCTTCGCATCATCATAGAACAGAGTATAGAATGGCAATCAACTCAACTCAACCTCAACTTCATCGACTTTGAAAAGGCCTTCGACAACATCCACAGAGAAGTAATTTGGAAACTGCTTTAACACTACGGAAAACCACAGACCTTTATCAATCTCATTCAACAACTATATGAAGACGCCACATGCCAGACAAGTAATTCACAATGGGAAGCTCAGTGATGCCTCGGAAGTGAAAACAGGAGTAAAACAAGTCTGTTTACTATCACCCATGATATTCCTGATTGTAGTGGACTGGATTATACAACAAATTGTGAGGAGCGAGGAGAGGGGGATACGCTGTTTGGACCGGGGAAAAGATCCCAGAAGATTGGGATTTTGCCGCCGATAACTTGTGTCTAATGTCACACAAACTCGAAGATCTACAGGCAAAACTAACAAGTTGGCAGAAGAGGCAGCGAAGACGGGTCTTCAACTGAACGTAGAGAAGACAGAGGTGGTGATGAAGATACCCAACCAACAACAACAACAACAATAACAACAAACTCCAATCACCATCAACACGAGAAACTCAAAGGAAGTAGCCTCCTTCACCAACCTTCCTTAACAGCACTTTCAACTACACGCGGCACACACGACGACGTCAAAACCAGCCAGCATCACAAAACCAAGATAGGCATTCATAAGCCTGAAATCAGTGTGGAGATCTTCTGCACTCAGCACAAAGTGTCAACAACTTCCGGATTCTCAACACCAACGTCAAGTAAGTGCTCCTGTTTGGTTCAGAAACTTGGTGCGTTACGAAAAGCATTTCCAACAAACTACAGACATTCATCAACAACTGTCTACGCTGGCTCACTACTGAAGATCAGATGGATTGCCAGAATAATAAGAATAAGCAACAAGCAACTCTGGCTGGCTGGCTGGCTGACTGGCTGGCTGGCTGGCTGCCTGGCAACGAACCAACCAACAACCTATCACTCAACAAATATGCACTGCAAGGAAGTCGAGATAGATTGGGTATACACTGAGAAGGCTGACTGGGGACATCACACGCCAGGTCAGACCCTCGAGTGGAACCCCGATGGAAAGCGACGAGTTGGGTGTCCCAGCTGAGGGTGACATGGAGGAGATAGTGCGAGGAGGAAATGAGAGCTTCTGGGCTGTCGTGGAGCCAGGTTCAAAAGATTTCAGAGAACGGAGTTCACTGGAGACGTGCTACTGAAGCCCTATGTTCCACTAGGAACCAAAGGGACAAATAATAATAAATGACTTGACTTTTGCAAATATGATATCGTCGCTCAAAATGTTACATGTTGAATGAAACACATTTAAACAAAATATTTGACGGAGAAAGACAAAGAAAAAAATGGCTACACTTACTGCCATGTATGGTTTACATCCAGCATCACGTGATCGGGCAATACTATCGACTAGTTGACCAGAGATACCAAAGTCACACAACTTCACATTACCATTGCAATCCATAAGAATATTTGACGGTTTTACATCTGTGTAGTAAACAAATAACACGATTATTAGACTGTATGAATATCTAAAGAGTTAGACCTAAGACTACTGTACTGGTAGACACTGAGTGCCTTCGAAGGGCATTTGAAATAAGTACAGAAGTATGCACATAATTATTATGAATAACGACCTTATCGACCAAACAGTAATGTCATGCTTCATTATAGTACTAATGTAGATGATACATTCCTTGTCTATGGCATATGTAAGTGGAGAATATTTGTAGCTCAGGTGGATGGTCTTTGTTGTATTGTGTTCTCTGAGCTCAGAGAACACAATACAACAATGCATATGTAAGTGTAAAGTCATTCTGAACAACTTCGGAAATCAATATTATTAATTGTCCTTTGGGTTCCTAGTGGAACATACGGATTCAGTAACACATCACCATTCCACTCTCTCCTTCGCACTCATTTCAACCTGGTTCCACTACCCTCCACAAGCTTCCATTTCCACCTCACACTATCTACTCCACAGCACCCTCACCTCGGACGCCCAACTCGTCATCTCCCATTTGGATTCCACTCGACGGCCTAGTCCGGTGCGTGATGTCCTCAAATGATCTTATCAATGTATGTCCAATCCATCTCCATCTCCACTTTATTCTACTACATATTTGTTGGACAACAGGTTTTTGGTTGGCTCGTTGCCAACCTGCCAGCCAGCCTGAGTTCCTTCTTGCTTATTCTTATTATTCTCGCCATCTGATCTCATCTTCAGTATCGAGTGGGCGTAGGCGGCAGCTGTTGATGATGTGTGTCTGCAGTTCGTTGCAAATGCCTTTCGTAACGCGACACCAAGTCTCTCAACCACCACATAGAAGCACTGAGTTACTTCACTGACATTAGTGTTGGAAATACGGAACTTGTTAACACTTTATGTCGAGTGCAGTGCAGTGCAGTAGTTCTCCACACTGATTATTTCAGATTAATGAAGGCCTGTCTTGCTGCCTTTCCAATCGTAGCTTTGACGTTCTCATCTGTGCCGCCGCCGCCGCCGCCGCCACCGCATGTGGTTGAAACGATGCTGCCTTGCCTACATAGTAGGCGAAAGAGACAAATCCCTTCAGATTTCTCCCATTCATGCTGATTGGTGCTTCTTCTTCTTCTTCTTGGTGGTGGTGGTTGAGTATCTTCATCATCTATGTCTTCTCTACATCCACTTGAAGTCCCATCTTCCTTCACTACCTCGCCTCGCATCCTCTACCAACTTATTGGTTTTCGCCTGTAGATCTTCGACTTTGTGCAACAAGACATTAGACGTAAATCATCATCGGTGGGGAAATCTAAATCTCCTTCTAGGCACTTTTCATCCGTCAAACAGCGTCTGACCATCTTCTCGCTCCTCACACCTTTTTGCATCATCCAGTCAAGTCCAGTCCACTCCACTCCACCACAACACAATCACGAAGATCATCGGTGATGGTAGGCGGCAATCTTGTCTTACTCCTGTCTTCACTTCACTTCAAAGGCATCACTGAGCTTTCCATAGTGAATCACATAGCATGGAGCTTCATCATATAGCATACAGCTGCTGTTCAGTGAGGTTGATAAAGGTTTGTGGTAGTAAGACTGTAGTGTTGAAGCAGCTGCCTGCCAAATTACTTCTCGGTCGACGCCTCTGTCGATGGCCTTTTCAAAATCCATGAAGTTGAGGTAGATGCATAGTAAAACACAGATGATTACAGTGAAGTAACATTTTTCATTTCATTAGCTGTACATTCATGAGTATATAGTGGAAACGATAGAACATTCCATAGTAATTTTCGGGTCAAAGATCAATGTAAACTGTATCAGAAAAGTGAGTTGCGTAATGAGGTAATAAACGGGAATGATTACGAAATAAAAAGGTTACGTCACACATGGGTTATTTAGAGTGATAAATAAGCTACGAGAATCATGACAAAGGAAGAGGTTGCACATACTTATTTCGAACCGATAATGTTATGCTCAGCTATGCACAGATGTTTTAAACTCACTCCTTCCGAGTGGCTTGATCGTAGTTTGTACACAATTGTCAAAAGGATCCAAATGTACTAAGTTTACTAGGCATACTGTTACAGAGACTAGGATACAGTTCCCTTCTCCTATTGTCAGTTAGATTGGATGGCATAAGTTGGCGCATGATATGGTTGATGTACTAAGTTTCACAGGAGCAAGTAAACTGATATCAATATATTGATGTGGCTCAATGCTCCAGCTTATTCTTTGTGTACTGAAGAATGAGTTGCTGACAGGAGGATGTGATTCTAAGATTTGGTGGCAAAAAATGTTCCGTTTTTGTATTTTAATAGTGTCTTTTTGTAATTACATATGCTGCATTATTTCCATTGAATTTGAGGCTGAATGGTATTATCCACGCGTTCTGTGACATTTTTCGGCTTTCGATTCTTATCTATGACTTTCAGTAGATATCCACTTTTCTCGCACAGTTTCTAGTTCATCATGGATGGTATCCTTTGTGCATATTTGAATTGATAAGATTTCTCTTTCTGCTCTGAAAATTAATAAACTACTCGCTTCAAGTGGGCTTTCTGTAAAGAGATGATTGGACTGAATTGTTATCTTTTCTTCAAAGATGGACATCAAATAAGTGGAATTTCGAGTTCGACTGTTACAAAAGTGAATTTGATAAATGGATAAGCACTATTAAAGTTTTGAAGCAGGTTTTTAAGGTTCATATTCTTATCACAAATAATATAAAGGTATCATCTATGTATCTTTTATAGATATGAAGTTCGCTGGGTCTTAAGAAGCGATCCCATTACTACGTCATATTTATCCGTCTGTAGATTTTGTTAAATCTGAAGGATATATTGAAAGTACATCTAATAAATTTCTTTCAATAATGATTTGGGATACTAATATTTAATTTATGGGATTGAATGAAGCCACATAGAAAACAAATGATTTCCCGTTTGTGAGATATTTACAATTACGGAGACGACATCTATAGAAATCATCCTTTTTCTCTGACAGATTGATATTTTTGATGAAATCAACAAAATGAAATGTGTCACACAGGTTATGTTTCATTCTTCACTGGATATAGTAATCTTAACGAGCTATTTAGCAACTACTGAATGGTATCGCATAAAGATAAACACCTTCTTTGTGTACTTTGAGTAGACTATATAGACAAAGTATCGAGGGATCTGGTGGATGGAGTTGTCTGTAGAGTTCATCTTCTTCAATATCTTGGATAACTGACGCTCTGTTTCATTCATAGGGTCTTACTGAATCGTCTGTTTTGAAAATTTGTTTCCAACTAGTAGAATGAGTAAAAGCTTATCTATATAGTCATATTTTTTTCCCAGGCACTATTCTAGCACCTATGTATCATGACTAAGCTTTCATTTTTCTAAAGATCCCTTAGTTGATTCTGATATTCTTTTGATAGATTGATATTTATATTAACCTTCGACTTGAAATTACTCTGAAATATTCTATACTTTTTATTATATAGTCACGAATGTATAGCTAAGAGAATGATTTCATCAACAAAGAGAATTATTTTTATCTCTGCTATTTGCAAATACTACTTAACACTTCAGCATGAAACCAATAAATATCAGAATTTACCTAAGTGTTTACACTGTAATATAGTTATCTTGTTGTTCTTATCAGACGTTGGCAGAAGAAAGTGTAGATGAATTGGACATACACTATGAAGGCCGATTGGGAACATCATGCATCACGCCATCGACTGGAGTCCAAAGGGGAAATGACGAGTTGGGCGTCCCAGTTGAGGGTGACATGGAGGAGATCATATGAGGAAGAAATGAAAGCTTCTGGGTAGTCGTGGCGCCAGGTTAAAAAGACTGCAGAGAAGAGAGTGCAATGGAGGCGTGCTACTGAAGTCCTATGTTCCACTAGGAACCCAAAGGAAATTTTGTGATTTCGAGTTGGTTTTCATCATGGACTGACATCAGTTGGAGGAACATTAGAAGCACTGGACAGCTGTTTTGTTTTAGTATGGGATTTCTCATCAGTGTGTACAGAAGTTGAAAATATGGACCATTGGATTCCGATCCAGTGGCCCAATAGTAACATGATGGCTACGGAACCTGAAAGTTCGGGGTTCAACCCCTGGTGGAGCATCGTCATGGATGTGCACTGCTGAGAAGTCTCATACTAGGACGAAACGGATGTCCAATGCTCCAAGGTTTCCAATGTCCCTCCAATTGATGTTAGTCCACGATGAATACCAACTTGAAATCACTTAAAAGTCAGTCTGATTTGACTTGTAAAATATACAGGTCAATGTGAATGACTCCTAAATGCTCATGTACTTTCCGCTCCTGACAGTCATAATAAAAACAATGACTCAACCTGGTACTTATTTATTTAGTAGGGTGTGAACCACACTTATCCCACGAGAGAATCTGGGATACTATGCTGTTGTCCAGACGATTGAGCAGAGTTCGAACCCAGGCCCCAATGGATGAAAGTTGAGTGTTTAAACCAATGACATGATTGTGCCATATATCAAAACCTGTAATATTATCTGGATGGTTTTCCATACAAAAAACGTGTTATAATTAAAGCTGGATAGTTGAAAAACTATTCAAGTGAGTAACCTTAACTTGATCCAAGAAAACACTGACCTACGCAACTAACTTTGTATTTATTTCTTCCCTTTCTAATTGTCAGTGGTATTGACAACTTAGGTTTCCTAGTAAAACATTATAAAAGGACTCTTAACAAATCAATGATAAGCCTCATAGAATAGTACTGTTTGTGTATATATCAGGAGTTTATCTAGTGCCTGTTTATTCTGTTACCACGATTATACTACATGCAACATATCCCTACCACTAAGCTGTTCCATTTGCTTCGATCCAGACAAGTGCATATCTGTATTCCATGATGACAAGCAGTGCAAGTATGTATTCCTGAATTATTATCATTACTATTTTTATTAACATACATCATGAAAGTTACAATACAACACAAACAGACTTCTCTTAAAGTATAATTTTTGAAGTATACGCTAAATGTTAAGCATAAACCTGACAACTTACCTCTGTGAATGACTTTTAGAGCCGTTTTTAAGTAATCCAATGCTGAAACAGTCTTAATTTGAAGAAAGAAAAACAATAATAGTTACAACTATCATTATTGTTACTATTATTATTATTATTATTACTATTATTATTATTATTATGGTATTGAGAAGTTATTCTATGCTGAAGAATATCAAACTTCCATATATACTGTGATTGATATGTTCTCTGAAGTATAAATTCTCACAGATGATTGTATCTTGTCTGACATTGAAACGTCCCTCATCTACAACAGCCTCAGAGGAGAAATCAACATGAATATTCAACGATTGACTATGAATAGGAACAGTCCTGCTTTCTTAAAATTATGCCTTAAGTGTTAAATATAAATTACGAGTTGTTTTTATAATTTGACGCTGAAGACAAGGAAGTCTAAATGAGACAGAAACAATATTACCAACAATATGCCTGTTGGTAACAGGCATTTTAAGCTTCTTCAGATTAGTCGACAGTGGGGTAAATAAATATCTAGTCTACAACTTCGAATACATCACCAGCTGGATGTAGCTGTACTCCAATGAGTGGTGTTGTTCCAACTGAGATTCGAACCTTGTGCCCATCACCTCAATTACCAAAGCGCTATCCACTAGGTCATATAAAAAGATATGACTTCAACAAAACATAATTCAACTTCGTGACAATTAGGTTCAACTTATCACACTTTTCAGTAGCAAGTCAATAAGACTAAATAAATAAAATAGAGGAAAGTAGATGACTGCATAGAGGAAAAACACTACTAATATCAATTGCATGGCACTTTACTCCACGTTTATAACTATTGATACTTTTTTTAGCTAGACGAGTTAACCTATATTCATTCATGAAATTTTACCGATTAGTTTAAGCTTTCCATAGTGTCAAAAACTGCTAGGTAGGTGTGCATAAGGCGTCTGAAGTGATTTACTTTCCCTACACAAAGAAAAGTAGAAACAAGAACAATGCATGACCTTGTACAATCGCCCGTGAGGAATGATGAAAACGATGATAAAAAGGTGATGAATAACTGTAGGGGAAAGTGAATCATTGAGGACTAAGAAAATAGAACACTATGTTGGTTGTGTTGTGTTCTTTAAGCTGGGTGGTTTAATCATGAAGAAGCTTTCATCGTCTTTCAAGACAACATCATCAGCATTAACTTCAGTATGAAGTGGCCTGTTAAAATCTCTCCATGAGTGATTCACTAGCTTGCCCTGACGAACTGATTTGTGATTGGTTGTTTCCTTTGATTGTTGGGTCATCGACTGTATACATTTTCTTGTTGACTGTCCCTCTGCTTGACCTCTGACCTTTCTATTGTTTATCATCTTTCTTATGGACTGACAGATTGGGTCTGTGTTTATACATCTATTGATTGCTGACTGCCTGAATCGCAAGCTTCTCTAACATTCTTTGTGTTTCCTCTCTCCTTCCAAGATTTCTACATTGACAAAATTGAATTCATGTTCATAGTTATCTACATGCATTGAAGAATGAACGATGAAATGTCGTGACGTTTAACAGCCAACTGGTGTTCTTGTAGACGAAGGCGAAGAGGGCGATCACTTTGTCCAATGTACTGTTGATCACAATTATTGCAGCTGATTTGTAGTCTTATCGTGATCCGTTTGTTGATATCTGTGGATAATCTTTTAGTTGATGATGAACGGGATAAGCAACTTCTGATAAATTTTCGTAGGTAGCCACTCTTCTTTGAGATAGACATCAAGTAATTTTCTTCGTTTCTCCGTGAAGTTGTTGTAGTGCAGTGTGTTCTCGTTCTCTTGAATAGAGTCTGTACGCAACCGATTTCGTCCGCTGTTCCTATTGTAGTTGAGGATTTGATCAATGTGTGTTAGGGAGTGAGTGATTAAAGTAGAAATCAACATTTTAATTCACTAGTAGTTACAGGTGAGTTTTTGTTCTCTGATACTTTCGGAGTATTAGGTACGGAAACGAATATTTGTAGTTGGTGTACAGTTGAAGTATATTCATTTGTTCAGTACCATTATTTATTTAATTACATTCATATTCCACTCGACAGCCTCACTAATACAACATAATCAGTATTTGCATTATAAACCTCATCATCAACATCAATATAGAATTAGGTATACACTGTATAACGATCCAAGTTTCTACACTTCATATCAGTAAATCAGGTGGAAAAGCATTAAGGTGAATAATTTTTTTCAAAAGTAATGAATGAGTTTAAAGTAGTAAAACAATAGGAAGGAATAAGAAAATACTGGATTCAGTATAACGATTAAGATGAAGATAACACGCAGATACATCTTTGCTACTGACATCGATTTTAAGCCATGTTACCACTATCTAGTACCCAACCAACAACAACAACAACAACAATAACAACAAACTCAAATCACCATCAACACGAGAAACTTAAAGAAAGTAGCCTCCTTCACCAACCCTCCTTAACAGCACTTTCAACTACACGCGGCACACACAACGACGTCAAAACCAGCCAGCATCACAAAAGCAAGACAGGCCTTCATAAGCCTGAAACCAGTGTGGAGATCTTCTGCACTCAGCACAAAGTGTCAACAACTTCCGGATTCTCAACACCAACGTCAAGTAAGTGCTCCTGTATGGTTCAGAAACTTCGCGTGTTACGATAAGCATTTCCAACAAACTACAGACATTCATCAACAACTGTCTACGCTGGCTCACTACTGAAGATCAGATGGATTGCCAGAATAATAAGAATAAGCAACAAGCAACTCTGGCTGGCTGGCTGGCAGGCAACGAACCAACCAACAACCTATCACTCAACAAATATGAACTGCAAGGAAGTCGAGATAGATTGGGTATACACTGAGAAGGCCGACTGGGGACATCACGAGCCACACCAGGCCCTCGAGTGGAACCCCGATGGAAAGCGACGAGTTGGGTGTCCCAGCTGAGGGTGACATGGAGGAGATCGTGCGAGGAGGAAATGAGAGCTTGTGGGCTGTCGTGGAGCCAGGTTCAAAAGTTTGCAGAGAACGGAGTTCACTGGAGATGTGCTACTGAAGCCCTATGTTCCATTAGGAACCCAAGGGACAAATAATAATATAATAATAATATCACTATCTAGAGTCTTTAGTCACTGGCTCCTGTTGTCATGTGTACCTAAACCGGGAAGTGTACATCATACAAATAAGGATATATACATACACACCACTGAGATAAGTATACTGAGTACGTAAATACTTTCAAATAAACACTGACTCACATAAAACAAACATCATAGACACTGATAATATTTATTATGATTTATCTATCTAAGCCGTAGTTTAGCAAACTAGTATTTGTACTGGGTGATGATTGAAGGTGAGATAGTCAAATCATAATCAATATGATGCTCCTCCTCTTTGATTCAGTTAGACTGGGATTGGGATGAGAAGTCTTGGGCTAGGCAACCACTGTGAATACGATCAAGCAGTAGTAATGCGTCAGAAATTCACACGACAGTCGGGCAAAACCCCGCTTGTGATTGAAGTGAAATAAGAAATCTGGTCAGCAGTCGGATCTCGTAGTTCAGTTGGTAGAGCATCGGGCAAGAAACCAAGTGGTCTCTGGTTCGAATCCGACTGTAGTCCAAATTTTCATCTCACCTTCAATTATTAACCCAGTACTGATAATATATTTCATAGTCATACAAATCTGTAGTTTGTTTACTTCAACAATGATGATAAACACAATAAGTATTCATCTTCTAAGTGATAAAAAATAGTTTTTTTGTTTTGAAATAGTTATGCACAAAAACAACACGAAATATAAACTAATAAAAAGTAGAAACTTCTTAATTACATACATTAATAATTGGAATTAAAACTTTTTCACAATATTAGACAAGGTATTAAATCATAATTGTGCTTGAAATTAGATCCAATTAGTCCACAGTATTCTTCATGTATTCTTGATGTTTTAATATATCTAACGATGAATATCTCATCATTAAGCTAGATAACTTCATTGTGAACAGATGATTGATAGTGAATACGAATCGACTATGATATCTATTCAAGGATAAGTATAGAATAAATAGTTAAATAAAACAATTGTGTACATTAACATTATATATGCATACATGTATAACAACTTACAGCTGTAGTAATTTTACCAAGTATACTTTCAGGAATTCTTGACTGTAAATGATTATAAACAAATTTGTAGAATTTATCCAATGAAGTAGACATCATCTCCATACAAATCCAACAATCACCCTCTTTGAAAAGTGCTCCATAAAATAGTACAATATTAGGACAATTTGATGAATTCATAACAACATCTAAATCTTTAAGTGTATTTCTTTGTTCTCGTTCATTTAATGTTGAACGAATTCTCTGGGAAACGAAAAAGTTAATGATCATAAGCAATAACAATAATAATAATAATATTTTGAGGGAGTTGTGGAGATTTGAAAATATTTCAAATTGTTATTTATTGTAGACTGACATCAGTTGGAGCAACAAAGGAAACCTGAGAGTACTGGACAGCTTTTTCATCCGACTAGTATGGGACTCCTCAGCAGTGCGCACCCATGACCCCACTAGGGATCGAACCCACGACCTTCGGGTTCCGCGGCCAGTGCGTTACAATTGAGCCACTGGGTTAGAATCTAATGCTCCATATTTCGAACTTCTGTTAGCTAACCCTAACCCTACATGATTGGTTTAATTTTATATATATTAAGTTACATGTATTAGAGTTAAGCTTGAAGAGGATCTAATTGAAAACAATATTGTTCTCTTATATGTCTTGTTCCAAAAGTGATAATGTTGACTAGAGCATTTGCAATATAGATGATAATGAGAACCAAGAAAGCAGCACAAAAATGTAGATACTCCGATAATCAAAGTGGGCGAAAGGCTTGAGAAAATAAAAGTTACGTAATACTGAAGGACGAGATAAGTGGATAAACAAAGTCTAAACAAATCTAGTAACTGTTATTGCTTGTATTACACCGTCGTTGATTCGACCGAATTGATCAGTCTCTGTTGGCATATGGGCTCCTATGCGAATGCCTCGATATTGCCTGTCTTTTAACTATGTTTAGTAATGATGGGCAGTGGCTAGCAGTGGAATCCAGGATGCGCATTACGTCCTATTTGGGACTAGTCAGCTGGATGTACCTGCTTCCCAGTGAGTGATGTTGTTCCCACCGGGACTCGGACTCGGGAGCGATTGCTTCAAACGCCAGCGCGGCTACATCCTCCCATTACATTGCAATTCCATGAATAACGGTTTTTTGTACGGTAATAATTCCACACTTGTTTCCCGTCGCTTTGTCCATGTGTCTTTTTATGAAACTGTTAGGGTAGCCCGCTTCAACCAATGAATTACAAATATATTCTAACTCCTTATGTATTAAATCATCCGAACATTTTATTTTCGCGCTTTTAGTAAGGCATTTAACTCTATTTGCTTTGTACCGAATGAGTATGTGACTAAGAAAATGTGTTTACTGACTTATAGATGTAGTCTTCCTGTAAATACATCTGTTGAGTGAACCATTTCCTCTTCTGCTGAGCAAGACATCCAAGAAGTGTAGTTTACTAGCATTTTCTTCCTCACAAGTGACAGTCAGTGCTTTCTTGGTTCTTATTATCATCTGTATTGCATGTGCTTTGGTCAACGTTACCACTTTTATCATTATTATTATTATTTGCGTTATTATCACCATCGTTATTTCAAAACATTTATCACATTATCAATCCTGTGACCCTTATCAATGATATGTTTGGCAATGGATGATGATGGTTGTCTGCCATATTATCACATTAACTGACAAATCTCCATGAGTTGTTTAACTTTTTATATATATTAAGGTATTTGTATTGGAGTAAGCAAACCATAAGGAGCGAGAAGATGGGCATACGCTGTTTGACTGATGAAAAGATTCTAGAAGATTTAGATTTCGCCGATGATTCATGTCTAACGTCTTGTTGCACAAACTCCAAAATCTACAGGCAAAACTAACAAATTGACAGAAGAGGCAGCGAAAACAGGACTTCAAGTGAATTTAGAGAAGACACAGGTGATGAAGATACCCAACCAACAACAACAACAAGCACCAATCACCATGAATGGGAGAAATCTAAAGGAAGTTGTCTCTTTCACCTACCTAGACAGGGTAGCATCGTTTCAACTACAGTTGACGGAGGTACATACGAGGATGTCACGAAAAGCATTTCCGAGAAACTACAGACATTCATCAACAGCTGCCACCTACGCTCACTCGATGATACTGAAGATCATATGGCCGAAAAGGATAAGCAACAAGAAACTCTAGGAACGAACCAACGAAGCAAGAACCTATCGTCCAGCAAATATGCAGTAGAAGAAAGTGGAGATGAATTGGGCATACACTATGAAGGCCGATTGGGAACATCATGCATCACACCATCGAGTGGAATCCGAAGAAGTAACGACGAGTTAGGCGTCCCAGTTGAGGGTGACATGGAGGAGATCATATGAGGAAGAAATGAAAGCTTCTGGGTAGTCATGGCGCCAGGTTAAAAAGACTGCAGAGAAGAGAGTGCAATGGAGGCGTGCTACTAAAGTCCTATGTTCCATTAGGAACCCAAGGGAAAAAAAATAATAACAATAATAATAATTGGAGTAAGCGAAGCCTGAAGAAGATCTAAATCAAAACAATATTGTTCGCTTATATACGTCTTCTTTTAACTTGCTTAAGCGTTTGAAAGACGTTTTTATAGAAACTGCACAGAAATGACGATCTAAAAGTATTCATCCATACCACATTCCGACTATGCTACAATTATAATTATATTAGTAAACCAATTAGTATCTAATTTCGTTATTTGATTTGGTTAGACTTTATGCTATCTCTTAAGTATTCCATATAGTAAATTGCTTTTGTTCAAAGCTCAAGTTCATATTCATCCCCCTTTAAATCACGGAGCAGTTGCAATTATGAAACCACAACTAAATTCGAAATAAAAGCAAAATATAAAATATATGGTACTTGTTCAATTTGTGAATTACCTGCAAAGAGCACTATCAATGTTGAGATGAGAACTGAACTCCTTAACTATGACGTCAATAATAATGTCACTTAATAATTCAGGGTATGTGAGAGTTTCATTGATTTTAAGGGAAAATGTAAGCTGATGGATTCCGACTCAGTGGTTCAATGGTAACGTGTTCACTACGGAACCTGGAAGTCTTGGGTTCGATCCCATACAGAGTTATGGGTGCGCATTGCTGATTCCTATACTACGACGGAATACTTGTCCAGTGCTTTCAGGTTTTCAGTGGTCCTCTAGATGATATCAGTTTGTGATAAATGACACTATGAAAACATTGTCGAAGTCAAAAAGTGCGGTATTCGACATAAAACTGTCAAGAACTAAAGAAATATGCTACTGAACAGCACACACACACACACACACACACACACACACACACACACTGATCTGTAGATTTCATAACTCAGATCAAAGTCGTCAAAAAACCAGATGGTAGTCATGGATAGTTGGTTTGATAAGTCGGCTCTATGAGCTGAATTTGCACGGGTACATTACTGACGAGCTCGATCACGAAAGATAGTAAAAAACGATTTAAAGTTTAGATGGATTTCATGGAGCTAGTGAAATCATTAGATCAGCATGAGCATTTTCTAACTACTCAAGTTTCAATGACTGATAATATTATACATCACCGTGTTAGTGAAACCACAGGAGTTGGAATGCCTAGCTTTTAGGATATTTACGTGAGTTTCACTAAGGATGTTACATATGAAATTACTTTTTACAAGACAAGTCAAAGTTATGACAGTTTTTTCAGAAAAGATTTCAACTTGATCACACGCTTTACGAATATCACTATTCTGTTTCGTGAGCAACACATTAAGAGGAAAAAATGAAGAAATTTACCTTGACTGCCATCACTGTCTGAGTAGGTGTATGCAGCATACGATTAACAAATCCATATGCACCCCTACCTATCTCTCCTTCATCTACAAGATCTTCCGTTGAAAATGCCTAATGTACATAAAAAGTGAAATTGATAGGATCAATTGTTTTTTAACATACCAAATCTTGACAAATATTTGGAATTGTTAGTTTCCCTTGGCATGAATAGTATTTAAATCCTCTACAAATAAGCAAAAAGAAAAATTGGAAACAAAAAGTTATTGAAAGTTTTAATCAGAAACTAACGATGTTAAAGGTTCTTCTGATTTCAATTCTTTTAAAGGCGGTCTTTTAACTAGTTGAGGTCTCGACGACATGATAGAACACCTACTCTGTATTCCTTTATTGTTTATACGAAGTGGAAACAGCTTACTTTATTTCTTGTCGATAGTAATTCAATTCAGATTAGACTTCTATCACCGTCAACAATAACATTGAATGATTCTTAAGGAGATTAAATTATGAATATACTCGAGAAGACAGTAATTTGAACAGTAAGTTGATTCATCAATGTAGTTAGTCCATCATACTAAAATAAAATATCTATAAAGGCAGAAAAAAAAAAAGAAAGTCCTATGTAATAAGGGTAAATAATCAATAACAACAATATAGCAAAAGAATCTTAGCTATAAAAACTTATCTTTCTCGAAGCATGTTTATAACCCCAAAAGACATTCCAGAAATTTAAAGGTTGAATGTTGTTGGCAGAAATCCTTAAGTCTAACATACTTCAATGATATAAATTTACAAACTAGTTGCTACCCGACCACCTACGAGACATGACCGTTGGGAGAAAAAGACATGAAGCGATTACAGGTTTTCGATAACACATTTCTTCATATCATTGCTCACGTTTGATTGAATCATCGTGTGAGCAGTGTTGAGCTCAGGTGAATGGTACTAGGCAAGACAATCACGTCGATTGATGAGGTTGTGAACTTTCATCGACTGAGGTGACTTTGACATGTACTGTGCATACCAAGTTACTGCCTACCTTGACATACCATACTACTTTGATATCGCTCCTTTTCTATCCACCTGTTCTTTGTGTACTGCTGTGAAGTGTGACAACTTGAACCGATGCACTTTTGAGCGAGGTTCGACGCAAATTCTGTCTGAAATAGTTGTCTTCCCAAGGTTCAAATCTATATCACCCGGTGCTGCAGAGATATTGTAACTGAGCTATCTTGAATGTACTTGATCAGTGGGGTGAACTAGATACGTTGGTTGATTGCTAAACAGTAATATGTTGTCCAGCCACAGGCTTTAAAAGGACTCCATTGATCTGAGACTGTAGAAGAGAGTGAATTGGTTGCAATTTGACGAAATGTGATGAACAGCATTAGTAGTTAGAAACCATAAATCCTAAACTGCTGATTTGGCTAGCAGATTCGGCTCTGTGAGCTGAATTCGTCAGACTACATCACTGGTGAACTCGGTCCCGAGCAAATGAAACGACCATTCTGTATTTGGACCAAATTGATCTAGTTAGTGAAATCTATAGATTAGATTGAGTGCTTTCTAACTACTCATGCTGTTCGGTAGTACATTTCGATAGTTCGTGGCACTACGTCAGAGATTACATCTCATGATCTTAGTTACATGATTTTCAACGAAGACGGTGTCGACAACGCAGTTGAACAGTTGAATAACTACTGGACACGATTGATTGATTGATACATCTTTCATACATATCGACTCAATACCATCAACAAAAAAAGCCTACGGTAGAAAGTCAGTCAAGCAAGTTCAAACACTGGTATCATTGGAAAGGCTACGATAATAGAATTGACATATTCCTTACTTCACGCACAAGCAATACAACATAAACCCTGGTCCATAACACCGCGATTGGAAGAAAAATTGAATGACAAAACGACAAATTGCTTGCAGTCATCCAGAGAAATGTAGGAGAAGAGTGGTACGAACGTATAAACAAGTGGGAAAGAATATAGCAAAACCCGAGTAAAAACATTTCAATTGAGGCTTCAGACGCTGGATTAAAAGGTGATCCAATACGATAACCTTATCCAGTTGAAGAAGAAAGGTGGCAGCTTAGAATATCATGCACCAGAAGTGATGTCTCACTGTAGTGAATATTGCTGTACAAACAGAACAGAGAATCCAACAGAAAAATATAACACAATGTCTCCACACCCCACAACCACACAAAAAGAAAAAAAGGAAAGCAGAACGATGTTAAAATGATCATAAACAGAATGAGTGGGCGAAAATTAAATAAGTAATAAATAATAAATAAGTAATACACCCTTCAAAATTTAAATGATAGTAGAGATGAAGGGCGTATGCGGCACTTTGATAAACTTTGAGATGTAACTTGTAGTCTTTAAGTAGTTATATATAACATTTCATGGAAATGCGATAGGAGGAATCCTACACTTTTTTAAATCGCTCAAACCAACAGTCAGTAATCCATCCCTCCAAATCAACATAGGACCAGGCACTACTGCGTAACGGTCCGAGTTGCCACAGTTCATATCAAGTAAAAAGATAGTGAAGTTGACGATGAAGAAAAGAAAATTCAGTCAAAGAAACAGAAAGTACGAGAAGAGTGAAAGGAAGAATGAGAAAATGGTGAGATTCGGTATAGTGTCAAGATGATGATAATGTGTGTATACATCTGCGCCACTGACATCGGTTCTCAGCCATATCATCTAGTCTCCAACCACTGGTTCCTCTTGTCCCGCAGACCCCAACCGGTTAGTCTGCATCGCCCCACATGGCTCAAAGCAACAGTCAAAGACTTCATACATTGATGTCATGCTTTAGTCTGACCAGATGTAGTAGTCAGCATACTCAATTACTTCACTTCTCACAGTTGCACTAGATTTTGCTCCAGATTAGGCATAGAGTGTTATCACAAATCCGACAAATATGCAAGGCATGCGTAATACTGAAGCGTTTAAAACTAGGATGAGATAGCATCCTAGCATTTTCTATATTCCAATTGATAGAAATTTATGACTATAAGTATCTTCGGACAAACTAATCCGCCAGAAATTGTCTGAATCACATTATAGTCCATTTATTTAAATTTCTAATAGTGGTGAAACTCGAATATATACGTCAACAAATTAGTAGTATTTATTTTGTAATAATGCTGTAATAAAGAACAGAAATGGCCTAACACCTAGTTGTAAGAACTAATCTTCTACTTAATTACCTTCGCTTTTATGGTGAGTTGAGATAGATAAGTAAGCAAAGTCAATAATAGGTCGATGGTAACTTAGATGTTATCCGGTATACCTCCAACAGTTTCAACACATTAATGTTAAAAAACTGGTGCTCAGATTCCTCTTCTGACAGCTACGTAGTTTGGGGACTCCAGTACAGTTAGGACTAAGGCCCATTTCGTAAACATCCGACTGATTACAACTCCAGTTATTAAAATTGCAATACAAATCAACCCAGTACAGATTTACGTACTAGGCTATGTGCCAAACTTATTGTACAACGGGTTGTAAAACCACTCAGTTGCCCAAGCCCAATTAGGTGGGGAAGCGCTCGAAAGCCAGACCTGTAAATTTATTCTACAAAATTATATGCTTATGTGAATCTGAAAAGTTACAATTCATCATAGCGTATCACGAGACTCTTTAAACGACTTAGAACGAACAGGTAATATGGTCCTGATAAGTGAAACCACTGATAGTATTCAGAACCTTATGCACACACTGACGAACAATTCAGAAATGTTTACGATGTTTTTTACCTCGCACATGCAAGCTGTTGCTTCAGAATTAGTCTGAGTTGACATACCTGACAATGAGGACTGAAGTGGTTGAGTTCTTCACTCTCTTCGGAAGCCCCTTTAGCCCCGATGGGCCACTGTCCAACGAAGTCTCTGCTTGGATACAAATGGCTTAACTGGCTTTCGTAAACTCAGGTCTTTTGTGCAACAGGCGTGATGTCTACTTTCTCCCAAGGGTCCAAAATAATGCGAAACAATTAACTGTCTTACTACATGGCTGCTAAAAATGGTTGCAAATTCGGAAAGAAATAAGAATACTTCAGGTGCTTAACCACTTTGCCCCTGGAAACACTGACTGCCCGCGTGGGATCACGCTAATAAGAGGTTAAGCGGAGAGACCTAGATAACTAACAGAGTGATTGCTTTTAGAACCAAGTAGTCGACGATCGAAACCTCAACGCTGGAAATGGTTTTACTACCTTTTATAGACGTACCGGCAAAGGCATAACCCCAGAAACATACGACGTGGGAGTTCTGACGCATACCGTATGACCTGTATCAGCTGAATTATATGGTCAAGCTGTCCGGGATCGTTATTTGTTGTTTCAGGGTACACGGGGTCGGAAAAATACAAAGCTATTTAACAGGTATGAGTAATGGATTCCTAAAACTATAATGCAACACTACCTAGAGGCAATAAGAAAGGAGGGTTCAACTAATCTTTAGTGGCATCGTCATATTTAAGTTTGGCTTAGATTTAAAGAACCAGTTGTGTGAGCGCTTGTACAGAGAGTTGTCTAATATAATGTAAAAATTGTTAACTATGTACATACCGTAAAATAATCAATATAAAATACGAATGTTGCTGAACTTCGTTCATTCGCACTACACTAAACAGCTAAACTGCGGCTAATTAGTTCACTTTTTCGAGTGAGTTCATTGTGAGTTATGATTTAGTTTCAAGTTGTCCACAAGAAAACTGAACCACAAACTTCATCCGCATAAACTTGATCCGTAGCGTCAAACCTTTCTCCAGAATCAATAGCCTAGGGTTCAACGAGATTTAACATTAATGCTGACCCTTACAGTTTTACCGGACTCGCTAGACTGAAGTCACATGATCAAGCATCCTCGCCATTCAGCACGTTGTCGTGTTACGTTGCACTGCTCGTAATCGACTCTCTAGCCAGTTAGTTGGAACGCATCGGTATCTTGGCACGACCACCCAAATATACTATTCTATCCGACTACACTGTTTTGTTCTTCCTTGGTCTCGTATTTATGGGTATATAACATTAGTGACCGGATTGTAACCTAATTGTATCTTCTAGAGTTTTAGAATACATAGATTAGGCTTTGTTATCTACTTTCAAGAACCGAACGTCTATTTTATACGTATGAAGGAATAAGTGATGCGGAATAATGAGTAACCATAAACCTAGGGTCAGCGTCTCACACCTAGTAATATATGTACGTTATCTTCAGTCCCGATGTCCGAACTGCTTTAATCAACAGAAGAAATATCTATTAATGTATCTAATATGAACGTCTACGCAATGTTTAGTAACACGAATGAATACCTACATAATTATGTGAGGTTAACCCCACTTATGGAAAACAGTATCGGTTAACAGATGAAAAGCTGAAGCTTTTATAGTGTAAATCTGATGCATTTTCCATATATAAGACATCTAATGGATGTAAACGATCTACTGTCATATATTTGGCGCAAAATATTTATAAGCATCACCAGTAGATTTGTCACACATAGCAGAATCCTGGAGATCAGACGTATTCTTAATTACTACACTTTGCAAACCACAACTAAATAATACTTGAAACCATCCGTACCACTGTATTTGTTACCAGCGCGACTACAAAAAGTGTCCAATAACAACAGCATGAGAAGAGGAAACTTGTACGTTTGGGACTCTTACTTGTAGGCCTTGAGGCCTGAGTCCTTACATTCGCTACCAAGCCTTCAGCGGTAGTATAAGTTTTTTCTGATTACCTGCTCACGGCTTTGGAAGTAATGACTGCCTACTTGGAAGTTTCACTGGCAAATTTTGTGTTTCATTTTTTGAGGGTAGCAGCGGAACTGTTGATAAGATCAGTTAGCTCTTAGCAAGTCCACTTTTGTACGCATCCGCGAGCAGATATTAGGCACCATTTAAAAGCAGTCCGAAAGAATGCTTCTTGAAAAGGGGGTGACTTCGTAGCGTCACACACTTCCCCAAAATCAATAGCCTAGGGTTTGACAAGACTCAACATTATTGCTGACCTTGATATTTTAACTGAACTTGCTAAGCTGAAGGCACCCGGCCAAGCATCCTCACCATTCAGCACGTTGTCGTGTTACGTTGCACTGCTCGTAATCGACTCTCTAGCCAGTTAGTTGGAACGTATCGGTATCTTGGTACAACCACTCAAATATACTATCCCATCCGATTACGCTATTGTGTTCTTCCTTGGTCTCGTATTCGTGGGTATGTAACAAGTCCGAATAACTAGTGATTGGTCTTTGCGTCTGTCAAGTTCTCACCAGGACGAATCCTAAATTCGTGAGCCCGACGTGATCACATATCCCGACCAACAACAAATATTGAATTGATGAGCCTGTTCCATTTTATATTTGCATGCTGTTTCCATTTCGATAACATTCATATATCCATTTACTACACCTTCTCATGTCCGACCACACTCCCAGGCTCATTCGTATAAGGCTGACTGCGAACACGATCCAACTCGCGCCATGTTGGCCAGACAATGCGGAAACATGGTTTCTGTATGCCGAGGCAGATTTTCGAGAACAGCCAGCCTCAGATCCTCATCCTCGATTCCTCGCCGTCATACGTTCACTACCGCGGGAATTAAACAGGCATGTTACAGCACACATGTTTAATCCTGAATTAAGTGATCCTTATGCGCTTCTCAAGGCTGCACTCTTGAAGAAGAGCGATCTGACAGATCGCCAGCGCCTAGACGAATTGCTTCGTAACATCGAGCTAGGCAGCCACTCAGCTACTGAAGTCCTCGCACGCGTGCAAGAAGTAATCGGCGCACGAGCATTCGACAATGGTCTTTTCCGAGAACTGTTTCTCTCGGGACTAACACAACCGATGCAAACCGTGTTGATGACACTGCAGTCGCTCCCACTAGATGACCTGGCAGCCTCGGCAGATAAAATACTAGAAATTTATAGCAAGCCCATCTGCAATATATATTCTGTCTGCGACAAACCAGAGAGCCAGGATTCAGAAGTGACCAAGCTATGTAACTCTGTTAAACAGTTGCTACGATCTCGAAGTCCTAGTTCACGTAGAACGCCGCGGAAACGCAGCTTAGAGCGTCGCAGCAACTCTCATGTTGTCCCAAAAATAAACCTAACAAGGCGAAAAATCCTAAATGGTGCTGGTTCCGTAATAATTACGGAGACGAAGCCAGAAAATGTCGGAAACCATGACGTATTAACAAAAACACAAACTCGGGAAACGGTCACGCTGGCACGTGTTCACGGCAACAGCAGCCGGCGGAAACAGCCGTTAGTTCTACCTCACGGATATTAACATGAAAGTTCGCTATCTCGCCAACATCGGCGCAGAACTTAGCGTTCCTCCCGCAACGACAAATGAGCGTCACCTTGACCCACCCTTCAATCTCCAAGCAGCCAACGGCAAGGCAATCGTGACATTCGGGAGACGGTATGCCCACCTCAACCTGGGTTTACGTAAACCTATCCACCGGATTTTCCTCCTGGCTGACGTCTCTATGCCCGTCATTGGCATAGATTTACTAAACCACTACCATCTACTCGTAGGTGTTCGCTGTCGACGTCTGATTGATAACAACACAAAGTTATCTATTGGCGGCACACCCATGTAGGTTCGAGTTTAGCCATCGTCAGAACCAGACATCAGGCGACGCATCCTACAAGCAGTTTTGGAGAAATATGCGGAGTTGCGACAACCAAAGCATACTCTTCCGTGCATAACTAGCAAGGTTATGCATCACGTCACAACCACAGGCCCACCTGTGACATCCAAAGCGCGCCGTCTAGCCCCCGATAAGCTCAAAACGGCGAAAAGCGAACTCGACCACATGCTGCAACTGGGTATTATCAAGCCGTCAATCGGTCTTTGGGCATCGCCACTGAACACACAGCAACGACTGGCGTCCAACCGGTGATTCCTGAACGTTTAGAGCGAAAGCAACTTCGGCAGACGGCCCAATTATCGAAATTCTCGATGATGTGCCTGGCAATGCAGTTTCAACAACCATCGGCGCAACACAAAACACGATCAGGTCGAACCGTCAGGTTACCGGAGTGTTCGAATTCGTATTCAACTTAGCGGTGTGGAACAGGATGTGCCAACCACTTTCTTTTTCTTGATTTCAAAACTTTTTGAGGCACCATTTTTCTTATTTTACCGACAACGCGAAACTCCTCGTACATTTTCCCTTTTTGTGTGGATTTTTTACGACTACCACGTAATGAAACATTTTTCTAAAAAAGGCGTAAACTTTGTTTCGATACATTGATATATACATTATTCCCATTTTTACGAAGCGTTATCGTGGTATTAAAGACTTATTTATATTCCGGGTGCAACGAGCACTGGACGGAAGGTCAAAGGAAACTGAGGACCGCGATCGACGTACAATTCGATTTATTGTGTTTTCTTTTCCAATTGCCACTACACCCTAGAACAAGTTCAGACAACCAAGGGCCACCTAGCGCGGTGAGCCCATTAAGAAAGTTTCATTAGTGGAGAAACCACTGGGTTTTTAATTCCGCCTGGTATCGTCTCAGTGTCATCACGAACCCACTAGGGGGGAGTGATCTGTAGCGTCATACACTTCCCCAAAATCAATAGCCTAGGGTTTGACGACTTCGACATTGGTGCTGACCTTGATAGTTTAACTGGACTCGCTAAGCTGAAGGCACCCGGTCAAGCATCCTCGCCATTCGGCACGTTGTCGTGTTACGTTGCACTGCTCGTAATCGACTCTCTAGCCAGTTAGTTGGAACGTATCGGTATCTTGGTACAACCACTCAAATATACTATCTCATCCGATTACGCTATTGTGTTCTTCCTTGGTCTCGTATTCGTGGGTATGTAACAAGTCCGAATAACTAGTGATTGGTCTTTGCGTCTGTCAAGTTCTCACCAGAACAAGTATTAAAACTTTTATACGCCTAGTTAGAATGTTGGCATTTTGTGTTTGCACACACAGGCCCATTGAAATTTTGCTCCAATCAAAGTAACTGCTGGTTAAAGCGAGACAAACGTTTCTGTCCAAATTTTCCGCAGTTAACCGCTGGTTTGAAGAAGTTGGTTTTTCAGTGCAACCGGCTTTTCAAGGACATTTTCCAAAGATTTCGCATAATTTTTCATTTTCTAACTCAAATGTCACATGTCTTGTCAAGTTTGTTCTCAGCCTCTGAGAGATGGTCAATCAAAAGTGCCGTCAAAACGATAGTTGCAGGGTAGGGTGCCACTTCACAGTAGCCTCTGGTATGAAGCGGATTCATTCTTGTTTTTCTGAGAGAAGACAGTGCATTCAACACGGAGGTAGGCGCCCTACTTCTCTGCCTGGTGAAGCCGGTGTGGCGCACGTCGCTGCTCTTTCATCTTTTCCTTTCTCTCTCTCCGGGACTTCCCAACCTCAATTAAAGCTAACTCTGTTAAGTACGCACGTGACCTAACGGAATCCATGTCGATAATCTTCTCTTGGGATCACTCGTACTGTTGTGATACCCCAGTTTTGTATAAAAAACTGCTATCTATCCGGACATCTTAACGTGTCATTCACACATTATTTTTACGGTATGACTAATAGTCTATTTTCTGCCTCAGTTGTAATGTAATTCGCTGACTGGTTAACTTTTACTCTTACTATGCGAATTTCTCCAATTGCCGAACAGGTCAGTTTTCATGTGTAAACTTGTTCACGTGTTCTGGATTGATTTCTTGTTATTATATTATATTCTCGGAGTAATACACTCTCTCATCTGCCAGCTTCGGCCTCCTCTCTATTCGTCCCGGGGTTGCAGTCAGTGACTCTTGCGCACAAAGTTGGCTGTCAGCTAAGCGTGTGTATTATATTCGTTTCGGAATATATACATATACTATAAGCGCATCGAACCCATAACACATACTTCCTCTGCTGCAGTAATATCCAGTTACTTTGAATGGTATACGCGTTGAGGACAGCCCAAAAGTAGAGAAATTCCAGAGATATTCCACATCTACATTACTCGAATACGAGCACAAGCATGACTACAAGTTCGGATACATGACTCTAAATCTAGAAACACTTTGGATGAGACGACTCAAAATCATCCTCATATTATTCTTCAGTTTGCCTTGCAAATTATTCCTCGCAGTCAGCGATGAGTTTGGGTCGGAACACAACAGTTATTACGGTCCGCAAACACACCTACAGCGTAACACTAAAGCATTTTGGGTCCTCTTCATGGGGATTTCGTCACTGTTAAGTT